AGTGCTCTTCTCTAGCACCACAGCTCCTTCTATCCTCCCTAGTCATTGTCCAACTCTCTGACGCACAACTGATTGCAAAGACCATGGCCTGTGTCTGGCACACCTTAGTCTCCAGAGTGACACCATTGCTCTTCAGCACTTTTAATTTCCTGGCTGCTGGTGCCAAGAGTGTTGACTGTGGAGCCAAGCAAGCTAAAGCTGTGAACAATCTCAATCTCTTCACCATCCATCCTGATGCTGCCAGTTGGTCCAGTGGTGAGAATCTTTGTCTTCTTGACACTGAGCCTCAATCCATTTTGAAGGCTGCAGTCCTTGACTCTCTGCAGCAAGCACTTCAGGTCCTCCCCAGTTTCAGCAAGCAGGGTTGTGTCATCTGCATAACGCAGATTGTTGATGAATCTTCCACCAATCACACTCTCCTCATAGAGCCCAGCCTCCCAGATAATCTGTTCTGCATATAGGTTTAAAAGGTATGGAGATAGGACACATCCCTAGCATACACCCTTCCCAATTTTTTTTTTACCCTTCCCATTTTGAACCATGCAGTGTTTCCTTGCTCTGTTCTGACAACTGCCTCCTGGTCCACAATCAAGTGTTCTGGGATTTCCATTCTTCTCAGAGTCAGCCACAGTTTATGATCCACACAGTCAAACACCTTTGCATAATCAATGAACCACAGATAGACATTCCTCTGGTATTCCCTGCTTTCAGCCGAGATCCATCTAACATTAGCCACAATATCCCTAGTACCACCTAGTACCACCTAGTACCACAACCTCTTCTAAACCCAGTCTGGACTTCTGGCAATTCTTTTCCAGTCATTTTTGGATAATCTTCAGCAGAATCTTGCTTGCATGTGAAATCAGTGATATTGTTCTATAGTTTCCACACCCTGTTCGGTGACCCTTCTTTGGAATGGTAACAAATATAGATCTCTACCAGTCAGTTGGCCAAGTGGTTGTTCTCCAGATTTCTTGGCACAACTTGGTGAGCACGTCCAGGGCAGCATCTGTAAGCTGAAATAAATCAATTGGTATACCATCTATTCCTGGGGCCTTATTTTTTGCTATTTCCTTCAAAGCAGCCAGAACTTCTTCCTTCATCACCATAGGCTCTTGCTCATATGCTGTTTCGTGAAATTCTTCCGTGTCTGTCAATTCCTTTTGATACAGTGACTCAGTATATTCTTTCCATCTTCTTTTTAATACTTCCTGGATCATTTAATATTTTGCATAAAGCATCCTTGATTATAGCAACTCGAGGTTTGAATTTGTTCTTCGGTTCCTTGAGCTTAAGAAATGCTGAGCGAGTTTGGCCCTTTTGATTTTCTGACTCCAACTCCTTGCACATTTCATTGTAATATTTTACTTTGTCTTCCGGCGCTGTCTTTAGAAATCTTCTGTTCAGCTCTTTAGTATCTTGAATTCTTCCTTCTGCTTTGGCTTCTCTGTGCTCCAGTGCAATGTTCAGTTTCTTCTGACATCCATTTTGGTCTTTTCTTCCTCCTCTGTATTTGTAATGACTGTTTTGCACTCTTCCTGGATGATACTCTTGATAGCCTCCCACAACTCATCTGGTCTTTGCTCATTAGTGTTCAAGGCCTCAGAGATAAAACATAAAAAATTAAAGAGAACATTAGAATCATGTGAGATGGCATCAAAAGGAACAACATATATATGATTGGCATTCAAGAATATGAGAGGGACAAGGAAATCACTGAGAAAATTGTGAAAGAGGAATTAGAAGAAAATTTTCCAGGTATTAGGAAGAACAGAGGAAGTCATATTTAAGAAGCTTAGTGAACATCAAATAGACTAGACTTAAAAAGAAAAACATCAAGACATAGGATAGTCAAATTCTCCAAAATAAAAGATAAGGATAGAATATTAAAAGCAGCATGAGAAACACTAAGAGTCATCTGCCAAAACAAACAAACACACACAATTAGATTAAGTACTGATTTCTCAGCAGAAATCATACAAACAAGAAGATGGCATATGCAGAAAGTTAAAAGAAAACAATTGCCAACTGACAATCCTAAGTTCCAGCAAAGATGTCTATAAAATATGAAGGAGAAATTAGATCCTTTGTAGAAAAGAAGGAGCTGAAGGAATTTGTGAAAACAAACAAATTCTCTATATTAACAAAGTACCATATAATCTTAGTAATTGATGCAGAAAGGGCATTTCACAAAATCTAAAACCCTTTCCTGATAAAGACATTCAACAAAATTGTAATAGAAGATAATTTCCTCAATATAATGAAAATTATATATGCAAAACAAAGACTTTCCTTGCGAACAGGGACCAGACTGATATTTTACTGGAAGTACTTGCTAGGGCAGTATGACAAGAGGAGGAAACAAAAGGCATCCAGTTAGGCAAAGAGGTGGTCAAACTGTTGCTATATGCAGATGATATGAAAGTGTGCACAGGAAACCCCAAGGACTCAACAAAAAAACTGTTAGAGCTAGTGTTAGAGTGACAGGATATAAGATCAATATCTAAAAATTAGTGGGATTCATCTACTAGGGAACTCAGAGAAGGAAATCAAGAAAGAAATACGATTTACAATAGCCAACCACAAATTAAGATACTTGGGAGTGGACCTAACTAGAGATACAAAAGACTTATACAACGAAAATGACAGAACTTTTCTGCAAGACACAATAAAAGACCTAAGGAAATGGGAAAATGTGCCCTGTTCATGGATAGAAAGACTCAATATTGTGAAAATGACAATCCTACCAAAAGCAATCCCAATACAGATACCAAATTAATTTTTCAGGGAGATCAAAAGGGAAATTATTAAGTTTATTTTGAGAGGAAGGAGAATGAATAAGCAAAGCACTTCTGAAAAACAAACAAACAATGAAGTGGGAGGCATAGCACTCCCTGACCTTAAAAACCTACTACACAGTGGTAGTAACCAAAACAGCATGGTACTGGTACAATGACAGGCACATAGACCACTGGAAGAAAATTGAGAACCCAGAAATCGACCTTGCTATCTATGGTCAACTGGAAATAACAACAAGGAAATAAAACCTAACAAATGGGGAAATGACCACCTTTTCAACATATGGTGCTGGGAATACTGGACTGCAACCTGCAGAAAGCTAAATCAGGATCCACATCTCACTTCATACACAAAAATCAACTCAAGGTGGATCAGAGACCTGGGAGTAAAGCCCCAAAACCATAAACTTCATTAGAGACAAACTGGGATCAAGCTTAGATGGCCTAGTCTGTGGTATAAAGAGACAGCCAAATACAGCCAGAAATGCTCTATCCAGAGAGGGAAAAATTGATGTATGGAACCCTCTAAAGATTAAATCCCTGTGTGCATAAAAACCCTTTCCCCAACAGAGTGAAAAGAAAACCTGCTGACTTGGGAAAACATTTGGCAATACCATTTCAGACAAAAAAAGTTTATAGAATCCTACAGGGCCTCAACAAGAAAAAGACTGACAACCCAGTTACAAAATGGGCAAAAGAGGAAGATATTCTGATGGCCCACAAACACATGAAGAAATGCTCAAAATCACTGGTAGTAGGAGAAATGGAAATCAAAACCACTATGAGATACCATATCACTCTAGTAGCAGTGGCAAAGTTTAACAGGACAGAAAGTAATAAATTTTGGAGAGGATGTGGCCAGATAGAAACTCTTATTAAGTTGTGGGATTGTAAAATGGTACAACCACTCTGGAAGGCAGTTGGGCGCATCCTCAAAAAGCTGAACATAGAAATTCTATATGATCCAGCTATTCCACTGCTTGGAATATACCCCCAAATCATGAAAACAGAGGCTCAAACGAAGACTTGTTCACCAGTGTTCATGGCAGTGTTATTCATCACTGCAAGAACATGAAAACAGCTCAAATGTCCCACCATGAAAACAGCTCAAATGTCCCACCACAGTGAAATGGATTGAAAAATTATGGTACCTTCACATGATGGACTACTACACAGCATTCAGGAGCAATGATTTTGTAAATTAATATGTAATTGGGGAGGGACTGGAGAACATTATGCTAAATGAACTAACTCAGTCCCATAAGGATAAATATTGTATAAGACTACTATTGTAGAATGAGTATGAGGATCCAAGTGTGTTAGGGAGGTTGGGAGCAGAGGGCTGAGGATGGGATAGGTTCACACGATTTGATGTGAAAGATCTGATATGAAAAACAAGGTATGTGAACTTTTAAAATAAACTAGTATAATTTTTTTTTTAGAAAAACCCAAAACTATCTATAATTGAATGGGTTTATTTTGGGGTTCTCAATTGTAGTCCATTGGTCTGTTCTTATACCAGACTCAGGTTATTTTTTACTACTATAATTGAGAAGTGAAAACTTCCTACTGTGTTTTTCTTCTCCTCTAATACTGTCCTCATCCAAGTTTTTCTTTCTATATACAGTTAGTGATTAGTTTTCCCATCTGTTTGAAGAACAGCTGTGGGATCTGGGTCAGGATTGAATTGTATCTATAGCTTGTTTTGGTAGAATTTACATTTTCACAATGTTAAGTCTTCCTATCCAGGAGCATGGTATATTCTTCCATTTATGCAAGTCTCTCTCTCTCTCTCTTAAATTAGTTTTATAGTTTTCTTTTTAGTAGTAGTTTTCTTTGTAGTTGTGTTTTGTGATTTTTTAATAGTGTTTTATAGATCTTTGTATATCTGGTTTTTCATTGCCCTTAACTTTGCTTGTTATTTTTTTCTCTAAAATTTATATTTCTTTTCATGTATTCAGAAAGACTCATTTTTGCTTTCATGGCTTCTGGATTTTGAGTTATAGTTAGGAAAGTCAGAGCATTAACCTTATTCATTGTCTTCTGTAGCTTTAATAACTTTGTGGCTCCCCTGTGACCTGGAGGCCTTACGGAGAGAGAAACCTGGAGAAGAGAAAGTCCGTGCATTTGTGACCTGGGCCTGAGATAAAGATCCTGCTTGCTGGCTAACATGCTTTTCTACACTTCAACCCCAACCCCTAGGACCTGGGATATCCCTTGGAGCTTGGATATCAGAGTTTCCTTTACCCCAGTGAGCCTGACCTCCGAGACCTGCTTCTCTTCTTGGCTGAACGTCTGCCTGCTGATGCTTCTGAAGATGCAGATCAGCCTTCAGGTACAAGACACCTGGGGCAAGGTGGGCTGTTCTTGTGTGTTCTAGGGACTGCAAGAATGGAGGTCAGAAAATAGTTGATGGGTGTGAGTTGGGATGTATCTTGGGGACAGCTGAGTATGAAACTTGGGAATTAGAGTTGAGGAGCAGACCAACAGGAGGTAGGTGAGTTGGTGGTGTTGTTAAGTGCCACCCAATTGACTAATAATCATAGCAACCCTAGGAATGATGGATCTGCTCCCTGTCCTATCCTGTGCCATCCTCATCATCTCTGCTGCACTTGAGCTTGTTCTTACAGTCACTGTATCTTGTTGAGGGTCTTCTCCTACTTTGCTGATTCCTCTACTTTTCAGAGCATGATGTCATTTTCTAAGGACTGGCCCTTCCTAAAAATTGAACCAAAGTATGTTAGATAAAATGTCACTATCCTTGCCTCCAAGGAGCACCCTGGCTACACCTTTTCTGAAACATTTGGTTTTCCTTTTGGCAGTCCATGGGATGTTCGGCATTCTTCTCCAACACCACAATTCCAAGGAATATCCTTATCCATTGTCTAGCATTCAGATGCATTGCAAGGAATTAGAAAGAATATGGCTTGGATCAAGTGCACCTTAGTTTTTAAACTGATGTTGTTGTTCATTAGCACTTTGGAGAGGTCCTTGATAGCAGATTCCCTAATCTATTGCAACATATCTTTTGATTTCTTGACTGCTGATAGCAATGGTCTAGGTTGTGGGTTCAAGTAGATGAAATCTTTTTCTCCATCTATCATGATTGACCTATTGACCCAGTGGTGAAGATTTTTATTTTCTTGGTGTTGAAATGTAATCTGTATTGAAGGCTGTAGTCTTTGATCTTCAGCAACAAGTGTTTCAAGTCTTCTTTACTTTCAGTAAGCAAGGTTGTATTGTCTGCATAACACAGGTTGTTGATGTCACATTCTTCCTTATAAAGTCCAGCTTCTCGAATTATTTGCTCAGCATACAGATTTAACAAGTATGGAGAAAGGATATAGCCCTGACACACACTTTTCTTTATTTTACACATTCCTTTACTCTGTTCAGAAAACAGCTTCTTGGTCTAGGTATAGATTTCATAAACACAATTAAGTGTTCTGGGATCACAATTCTTCTCAATGTTAGCTAGAGTTTGTTATGATCTATGTAGTCGGATGCCTTTGCATAGTCGATAAAAACACAAGTAGACAGCCTTCTGGTACTCTCTGCTTTCAGTCAAAATTCATTTGACATCAGCAATGATATCCCCCTTGTGCAGTGGCCTCTTCTAAATCCAGCCTGCATCTCTAGCAGTTCTCAGTAATTAGTTGGTGCAGTGAGGGACTTATCTCTAAAATCCTCTCCCTTGTTTATGCATTCTCCTCCTTGATGCTTTTCAAACAGATCAGGAATATGCTTAAGCTCAAGGGCCTTGATATTTGCTGGATTTTTCTTCTTCCAGATACCTTCATAATTAACTGTTTCGCTTCTTTGAGGTTTCTGTTCTGTCACCTTGGTGTTTGAGGCTGATGATCTAATGATAGAATTGTGTACAATCAATGATTTGTTCATTGCAAATACGCTTCTAAAAGCATAAACTGTTACTGTACATTTGGACCATACCTGACCAAGTTTACAGGAAACAAATTGACTATATCTGTGGAAAGAGTCCATGGAGACACTCAGTATCAGTAGTCAAAACAAGGCCAGAGGGTGACTGTGGAACAAATTATCAACTATGCATATACAAATTCAAATTTAAAGTGGAAAAAAAAAGAAATCAAGTCCACAAGAATTAAAATATAACCTTAAGTCTATCCCAATTGGATGAAAAAATGATCTCAAGAATAGATTTGATGCATTGAACACTAATAACTGAAGACCAGATGAGTTGTGGGGTGACTTCTTTGTTGTCATCCATGAAGAAAACAAAAGATCATTACAAATACAGGAAAGAGAAAAATGACCAAAATGGATGTTAGAAGAAGACACTTCTTAAACTTGTTTTAGAGTGCAAAGAATCCAAAATAAAGGAAAGGCATTCTGAATGAAGAGAACTGAACAGAAGATTGCAAAGGGCACCTCCAGAAGACAAAGCTCAGTATTATAATGAAATGTGCAAAGAGCTTTGAGTTAGAAAACTGAAGGGGAAGAATATGCTCAGCATTTCTCAAGCTCAGAGAACTGAAGAACAAATTTAAGCCTTGAGTTGCAAGACTGGAGGATTCTATAGGCAAAATGCTGAATGATGAAGGAAACATTAAAAAAAAAAAATCATTGAAAAGAATGGGAATCCCAGAACATTTAATTGTACTCATGCAAAACCTATACATAGACCAAACAAAATAAAAGAACACTGCATGTTTTAAAATCAGGAAAGATATGCATCAGAGCAATATCCTTTCTCTATGCCTGTCTATCTGTACATTGAGCAAGTCAAGCGAGAGACTTGGCTTTAGGAAGAACAATGTGGCATTAGGATCTGAGGAAGACTCATCAACAACCTGTATTATGTAGATGACACAGCCTTTCTTGCTGAAAGTGGAGTTGAAATGCTTGCCGCAGAAGATCAAAGTCTACAGTTTTCTATATGGATTCCATCTCAACATCAATAAAACAACTTCACCACCATACCAATAGGCACCATTATGATAGATGGAAAGGAGATTGAAATTGTCAATGATTTCATCTTATTTAAATCCACAGTCAACACCCTTGGTACCAGTAGTTAAGAAATCAAAAGACATGTTGCACTTAGAAAGTCTGTCATCAAGGACCTCTCCAAAGTGCTAAAGAGCAACAGTGTTAGCTTAAAGACTAAGGTGCACCTGATCTAAGCCAAGTTCTTTTCAATTACATGTGTGCATCTGAATGTTGAACAATGAATAAAGATCACATAAGAATTTATGCCTTTGAGTTATGGTCTCAGAGAAGAGTACTGAATATCCCATGGACTGCCAAAAGAATAAATACATATGTTTAGGAGAAAGTGCAGCCAGGGTGCCCATTAGAGGGAAAGACAGTGAAGTTTTATCTCATATACTTTGGGTTTATATCCTTGGACAAAGACCTGATGCTTGGAAAGGTGGAGGGTAAACATAAGACTTTCAACAAGATGGATTGATAGAGTGACTGTAACCATGAACTCAAGTATATCAGAGATGATGAGGATAGAGCAGGATTCATATCCATTGCTTATAGAGTCACTATGAGTCATAATTAACACAAAGGCCCATATTAACAACATCAAGAAAGGCCAGTCCTGGGGGAGAGGGGACTAAAACTTCCCTGGAAATAGGGCCTTCCATTTGGGAATCCTTGCCTCTGCCACTGTGGGGCCATCTGTGGGGCCAAACAGGACAAGAGAGTTTGGGACACAGAGCTACAAGCAGGAGAAAGACGTTCTCAACTTTCTGTGAGAGGGAGGGCTGACTTGAGACTCCCTTTCACACAAACTGCTTAAGTTTGCAGCCCTGATCTTGCACCACTCCAGAGACAAAGGAAAACATTAAGCTTCAGGTGAGAAAGCGTATTAGGTTCTCCCCAGAGTGAGAACTGTCAGGTACTTGTGGGAAGATGTTACTGAAATGTCCTTGCAGATAGGCCCCATCCATTTGAGGATCCTTGTCTTCATGGTTGTGGGGCCATCCTATGAGCCAGACAGGACAAGAGACTTTGGGACACAGGGCCACAAGGAAGGGAAAGACTTTCTCATCTTTCTGAGAGAGAAAAGTTTGATTTGAGACACCCCTACACACAAACTGCTTAAGTTGGTGCTCCCAATCTTGCACCACTCCAGAGACAAAAAAAGGCATTAAGATTCGGGAAAGAAAGTGCATCAGGTGAGACACTGCCTCACAGAGTGAGCACTTTTGAGTACTTGTGGAAGAAAGGGGACTGATATTTCCCTGGGGATAGGTCCCTCCATTTAGGAATCCTTGTTTCCATGGCTGTGGGGCCATCCCAGAGACCAAACAGGACAGGAGAGTTTGGGACACAGTACTACAAGCAGGGGAAAGACTTTCTCAACTGGCAGGTTGAGCTGCAAGAAAGAGAGCTGACTTGAAATTCCCCTAGACAGAAATTGCTTGAGTGGAGCACCTGGTCTCATAACACTTAGCCACCCCATAGATTGAGGAGAACAATAGAGTTTGAGACAGGGGACTATAATAAGGTGAGATTCTTGCAAGGCTGCAGTGCAGAACAGGGAGAACCTGAAGGACTTTAGGAAAGGCAATTTTTCCCAGAAAGGACTTTCAGTAGAGTGAGTGGCTTACTCCATAGATTGAACATTTTAATCTGGCAACTAATCAATAATATCATAAAGATAAGAACTAATGACAATTTCCACAGATACAATAGAAATGGCCTAACACTTATTATGAAAACCTTCACATATGTTGAGAAAGCAGCAGGCAGCTTCAAACATTGTGAAAACAAATTAGGCCTTCTCCCAAAAAAAGCAGAGAATATTGCAGATCCATTGAATACCCCAGAGTTAAGAAGGCAGGTGATATATGTTGATATGTAGGCATTAGAACAGCTATAAAAGAAAGTATAAATTATGGAAGAAATAATGGAAGACACAAAATAAAGGAAATACCCTAGAGGTAGAGAACTAGAAAAAAAATATATTGATAAGAAGTTATTTGAACAGCAGTGCAAGAAGGTGCAAATGATGGAAAAAACAGTGGAAACCACTAAGAAAGCAAACACTCCAGAGACACAGAGCCAGAAGAAATATATTGATAAGGAGGAACTTGCATGACTATGGAATAAAATTCAAAAGATGGAAGAAAGAATTGAAGCTATAGATAAAGAGGTACAGGAACTTTAAAAAGTCATCACAAGATAGAGAGAGTACAGCCAACACAGGACTGGATATAAAAGATATGCATGAAAATGCAATCCAGAATATTAAGACCAAAATTACAGAAGAGTGCAACATGCTGGAAGGACAAAAAAGTAGAGCAGAAGCGAGCTAGATGGTAAGATCCTCAGTGGAAA